GCTTACTATATTCTATTGTGAATAAAATGAGTTTATGAGACTTTAAAATTGTTGTATTCCATTTTTATTTACAGTCAGGTCCATAAATATTGAGTCAATTCAATTCTCATATTTTTYTCTGTAAACACCACAATGGATTTGAAATTAAATGAAGACTTTCAGCTGTAATTTGACGGTATTTARATCTAAATCAGTTGAATGAAGTACAAATTACACTTGTTTGTATGTGTGCATACCACTTTTTAGGGATTCAAAAGTAACGAGACAAATTAATCACAAATCAAACGTTCGGTTTTTAATATTTGGTCGCAAATCCTTTGCAGTCAATTCCAGTCTGAAGTCTGGAAGACAAACATCAGCAGACACTGAGTATCATCCCTGATGATGCTCTACTTCAACTGTCAGTTCAAAAAGAAGAGAATTACGTCTATGTCTAAATATTTATGCACCGAACTGTATATTTTACACAGCTTTTCAAGTTTTTTGGGGAATTTGGGTTATACTTCAGACTTAAAAGTTGTACATTTGTTTTTTTATATAAAAAATCATGTATTACAACTTTGTCAATATCTGCCAAATGTAGAAATTCTTTGAGCCAGAAAGATACTGTAAAGAGGTCTTTGTCTTTTCTGATAACATCTGACAGAAATAGTTTGTGAAGATTTGTGACACAGTTATCCGGAGTTAGATTTCATTTGCACAGCTGGACACTGAACTTTAAAAAGGCTCAGTGTTGGAGGAAAAAACGCTCATGTGTTGTAACTTAAGAGGCTGACGCTGCACTGAAGCCATCTCGAGTTTGCTTTGTCAGCACTAAAATCAAATATACTGTTATTCTTGTTGATAAATCAAGTCTTGTCGGCATTTGGATCCAGAGCCTGTGGGGTCTGGTCTCTGAAACCAAAGTGGATCTGTGCTTGTGCTGAAGGAACACATGTTTGGGAAAGCTGCAGATTTTGGTTTGCTGCTTTTCAAACAGAGTTGTAAATGTCGTTTGTAGTGGTGGGGGAATGGGGAGGGGGCAGGGGACGTGAAGTGCTTCTGGCTGCAGAGTGGTAGCTTCAGATGTGGCAGCTTTTAGGTATCCGCTTAATGATCTGATCTCGACTCAACTGGAATCTTTAATAAAGGAAAAAAAGAATTAAAAACTAAAAAAGAATTTACATCATTCCTCCGCTTTTAAGCAGTAAAATCTTGGATTGCATTTAAATGTGCCAGTTAGTTTGTAGCTCGTGGAAATATTTATTTACTGGCACCAGTGACACCACATCCTCCAGTAACCCCCCCTTCCTGCACGCTGACCATCTCTACAAAACTAGAAAGCAGTAAGACCCCCGGCAGCCCCAAGAGAAATGAAGTGTGCCCCCTTTGCACACACCCACACACACACCAAAGCAACAGAAACAGCTGAATACAATTAAAACTAACTAGCTTTAAATTCTGTTTGTTCCCTTAAACATTTACAAAGAAGAAATTACATCTTATGGAGAATCACGAATCCTTACATAAATTCTGGGCATTTTGTGTAATTATGGTAAATCGTTTTAGGTTTATCACTGATCAGTGTGTACTCCATAGATGAAGTCAAAAACAAACCAAAATTAAAGACCTACCAAACCTTGAAGGAACGCATATCAAGTTTTAGGCTAAGATAATTGCATGTTAAGAAATGGCTGAGCTGTTAGCTGTTTTGGTCAAATAAAAAAAAAGAAAAAAGAAAACATTATCCCATGTGGGATATCTTCAAGACATATGTCTTGAAGAAGATTCTCAGCAACTAACATATAAAATTCTAGCCCAATATGTGTAAAACTGACAGGGTTATGGCTGTTTTTGGATTGACTAAGTTTGATTAGCTGGGCGGCCATCTTGAATTGGGTTGGAAACAAGGCACAAATCCCTTCCTGCAAGTTTCACTCAACTTTGTTTGGTGATTTATGAAAGTTTTAGGGACAGACACAGACACCCAAACAAACACACACAGGCAGAAACATCACCCCTCGCCTTGTTTTCCAGCTCTAAAAACTGAACACGTTCTCTGCTTTTAGCCGTGCAGAATATTCTTATCTTGTAAAAGCAGCGCACTGTTTTCCTTTGTCCTTCTCTCCCACTCCTTTGTGTCACCAGTTCCAATTTGTTTTCGTTGGAGCTGGACAACAAAAACTCCAGAGAGAAAAGAGACAGATGGAGACCCAAACTTCCTGTTTGCTGTTCAGATTTGGGTGACAGATTTCTGGAACCGAGACACCAACGCTATTCAAACTCTGTTTCAAAAGGTACTAAGTTTTGGTGGAAATCATCCTTTTCATATTGCAGCTGGAGGTTTTCTAGTTGCAGAGCTTGTTTTATTTGTTGAAGACAATACTGTGATTCTGTTTGCTTTTGCCTTTATGGCAGATTAACATCACCAATCAGAGCAGAGGATGCAGAGGAAAAACGTTTGCACTCTGTGGTTAAAACATCATTACATCACTGTGTCTTCAAACGATAATTGTTGCTTGCTGCTTTAAAGTTCAAAACACTGCATGCTTAAGCTTTAATTGGTGCTTAAATCTCATGTTGACCATTTTTAATTGATAGGTTAGCACTAATAACAAATGATCTCTGGCTTTTTACATTGTGAGGTAACGTGTCAGGGAAACACGATAATTAATAAAAAAGGTTTTAAACCCACTTACAAACTAATTAAAGGGTTTGAAAAACACATTAGTTATATCTTTATACTTTGCAATTTATTTATTAAAACATGTTTACTGACATTAAATCTTTAATTAAGGTTATGATTTAATTTATTTTTCTTTATTAATTACAAAAAAACTATTTATATAATCCATGTTCTTTCTGTAAAGTATTAGGCTTAGGTTGGGACATCACTGTGGGTCATAACCACAAACTAACTGGTGGGTCTTATGTGTTTTGCCATTCTTTTCTTGTTTAATTGGTTAATTAGCAATACTTCAACTAGATATGGTCAGGGTCACACAGAGTTGATGGTATTCTGTGGGTCATAGGTTAAAAAGTTTGGGACCCACCAAACTAAACACTGTATCCAAACATTTAAACTACTTTCTTTTTACTTGTGTGAAAATGACACCTTTTTTTATCTTTTGTCTTGGACATCTGGCCTCAGTCGTAGTTTTCTGACAAAAGAAGGAAGAAAAAAGATGCAGTAACATAAACGACCAGTCCTGTTGGAGCGACTGCACTTCCTGCCTGAAGATGAGATGCAGCTGCCTGTCAGCTCTGCTTGAGCGGGTGGGAGGGGAAGAAAGAAGGAACAGAGGGGGGGGAGCAGATGATTTTGCAGCCAAATGATGTGTTTTATTGCCGCACCTCTAAGTGCTCTTCATTACCACTAATCGACATAAGGAAGAAAAGTCTAAGCACGGCACTGGAAAAACAGCAGCATGCAAAAGAGAGCATGACACTGACCCTTTTGGTTAAGAAACAACCACTCAGTTGAAAAATATGAATGATGAACAATGAGTCACACAAATAACTGACCAGAGAAGTCAGAATAAAGATACTCATCAATAAAATCCACTGCTATAAATAGGCATTAACCTCAGTGTTCAGTGGTACGACACTGGTTGTTCAGCAGCTGCATGTTCAGCTCGTGGAACAGAGAATAAATCAGCAGAGGACAGAATGAGATCAGTGTGTTTCAACACACTCTCCGCTGAGACCAAACTGTTGCACGTCGGCACCGTGGAGACCGCTGCTGGCAGGTTTTCTGCCTGCTCATAATGTGAAGCACATTTTCTCATTGAGACCGGCATGTAGAGCGTGCCAGGAAACAGCTGATGAACAAGAACTAGGTCCAGGCCAGGTGTAGGTGGTGGGGGGTGGGGGTGGGGGATACGAACCCAACTGGGCTGCATAACATCAAGGCGGACCAGAGGATCTGGGATGCATACCAGCAGCCTGACGCACAGCGAGGAAAATCCCCTGCACTCAGGCAAGATATATAACCTTGTTACAATTTGAAAACCCTGTTGCGAAAATGTGTGTTGCTGCTCTAGTGCAGAAATATGACATGAATGCAACACATCCCAAAGACCCTGATGAGTAAGAATTCCCGGCAAGAACTCCTCAGGATTTGGACCGGGAAAACAACAAAATGCCAAACTGAAACTCTGACAAGTCACCAAGGAGAACTGAAAACATGCTTTCGTTTCACAGGAATCATCTGCGTCCAGGAGGTGGAAGTGCAAAGGAACCAAAGCGAGAAGTTAGCCCACCAAGCGGCCGCTTATTACAGGGGCTTTCAGGTGCAGAACATGTGTCATATCAGATGGGAAAGACATGCCTGGAACATGTGTCTCTCAGCTACGACTCTAACGTAACTCAGTCCAGGCAGCAAAACCTCCRGTGAAGAGAGGATGATTCAACTGATTGTTTATCCACTGAGTCACAGGAAATCTTAAAGAAGGCAGATGTGTAATATCACTGGAAAAGGAGTTTATTGTAGTGTGGTGAGATGTGTTTCTGTGTGGAGAGGATTAGTCTTCTCAGAGAGAAGATCGCTGGTTCTTGCAGGATGACTGAAGAGGGTTGTATAAACAAGCTCTTTAGCAGCGAAGCACAAAGTGGCGTACACACAAATAGGCTGTAAACTCATTGTGTGTGTGTGTCCCTTTGACACCTTGTCAAACGTTTCCTCTGAGCGAGACGTTAAACATATTTAAACATGGCCCTTTGTGAAAGAGTTAAACAGTGTCTGTGTACAGAGATGTGATGTTTGAACAGGTTGCTCCCACTCTGACACATTGTGGTGTTTGTGTGTGTACACACACTTCAGCGGAGATGCAAACACACAACACAATCGGCTCTTCTCAAACACTTCAATCCGAATYAATTCTAGGACAGCTTGCACGTATCTAAACCTCAGGTCCATTATTATTTTTCTGGCTGAATTAACTTTTCCTGCCTCCGTCAACAGTTTCCAAACAGCCGTGACCAACAGAAAAAAACACTCTTGAAGATAAGGAGCACCTTACCTTCACAACCGACCCGCTGACACAGATGGGTCTTCCCCCTCCTTGCTGGGCCAGCCGATGGAAATTAGAGCAGAAGCTTCCAGCTGTAGGCTCCACAGGATCCGCTGCTCCAAATGTACAGATCTCTCAGATGTTCAGAGTCTGAGGTTAATCMGTGCTGTCCCAGAAGTCCTGGAGGAGGTGGTACTGCTCTGAGCTGAACCGTTTATTTAGTCAAATCACAGCCCTATGGGGGTCTCTCTCTCTCTCTCTCTCCTATTCACAAAACAAGCCGGCAGAAAGAGTGTGTGTTTAAAAGAAGAAGAAAAATCCTTCAAAGAGACAAGCAGACAAACACACACCTCCTCTGACACCCAGAGAGCAGAGTGCGAGTGGTCCGGCCCTGCTGAGTGAAGAAATGAGGGGAGGGAGGAGGGAGGGAGGGTGTTGGTGAAGAGAGAGGAGCAGAAAGCAACACGGCTCAGTCTAACGAAAACGAGAGAAGAAGAGGCAGGCGTTCAGAAAACTTCAAAAATGACAGATCAAGTTCTGCTTGTTGTTCTCGTAGGAACGGCAGCTCCGAGGTCCCAGGCTCGTCTGGAGCGATTTGTTTATGAATGGAGAGGGAGAGGCGAGCCGCTGGAGGTGAACTGAGACAGTCTCTATTGGCAACGGTGATCTGGACTGCGTCCATCCCTGCCATAAAAACAACAAACACAATGAAAAGAAAGGAGTGAGAGGTTCAGGCAAAGAGAAAGAGAGAGAGAGAGGGATTTGGCAGAGCTCATGGTGCCCTGGAAACAAACATGGAAGTCTCAGTTTCTCAGGAAAGTACCTCATTTATAAAGCTACACAAATCAAAAGAGATGTAAAACTTATTAAACATAAAATAACTTTTATCTTTTGGGAACATTCTTTTTTTCATCTTTGCTATATTAAAAAATGAATCAGCTTTTTGTTCTTTCTCACCCTCTTTGTCTCTTCGTTTTTTTCTCTGCCCCCGCTCTTTCAAACCCGTCTCCTAAATATTGGCTCGCTTCCTAATTTCGTCCATTCCCAGGACAGGAGAGGAAAGAATCCTGCTGCTGATCAAGGCCTTTTTTCCTCTCTAACAAGCGGGCGCACAGAGCGGGGAGGAAGGAGCCGGGGTTAAATTGGACAGCAACATGTTCTCCTCTAATTGTGAGGCTAAATCTTAAAAGGTCTGTTAGAAGTAATTAGAGAGCCAGCACAGCCCCGGTTATTAGATAGGTGGGGAGCGACACCACACAGGATGGTCTCCATTTCATTTGGATCTAATTTTACCTGCATGTCATTAACACCTCCTGTTCATTAATTTACTCTAAATCTAACAATTTAACCACATGAAACAGGAAAAGGTGTTTGTAATTTTAAAGAAACTYCAGTTGAAAAGATGCTGCACTTTGTGGGCAGAGTTGTAACTCATGCAGTAGTTTTAAAGGAGACATCCTGCTTTTAAATCCTTATTTTTCACATTTAAATCATTCAGTTGGAGTCTTTATAAAGTGGAACTGCAATTCCTGGTCTGAATTCCTCCTTATTGTAGCTCCACAGGTCCCTCTTTCACCTCTTTGAGCTGTGTCTCAGATCAACTCATTTTGATGCTGTCTCTTTAAAACCAAACAAGGTGCTTCACACCCCGCCTCCTTCAGCTTACAGTGGTTCATTCTAGTTTGATGTCAGAAATACGACTATACTGTGTACTGTATTATTACTTTCTTAAATCACCAATAGCATAACTGAAGTTTTGTCATGTTACGTAACATAATGACAAATAAAGTCTTGTATGTCCATTTTAACATGCATAACACATATATGAGCTGAGCTGTTTAAAAGTCCAGCAGCATAAAAACAGGATGTACAACCTCAGGATGTTTATGCATTTCATTAACATGTATAATTTTAGCATGTTGTTTCCATGGAGTGTGACATAGAATCCACAAAGGGGGTTTTCTATTCCTCTAAATTCGGCAGCGGCAGCCCTTTAACAAACCGGACTCCCAACTATTCTGCCCCAACAATGCCGGGTCTATCTGAGCGAGCGCAGAGTGTTTTGTGTCACGGCTGATCTGATTTAATGCTAAAAACAGAGGGTAGCCAGTTTGTGCTGTTGCTGTTTGGGTTTTTTTCTCCTTGGCTTCAGATAACTTGGAGTTTATCTGCAGTGTCTGAGAGGCAGTGAGGAGAGCGAAGGGAGGAAGGGGCAAGAAGCTGAACCCGACTCACCCCCTGATGGATGAAGATGGGTGAAGAAACTGATAAACATGGCTCCTCAGTGACAGAATCAAATTTTATCATGAGGACTCAAGCAAAACATGAGCCCAAACAAGGACTTATATTACAGACAATGACACCAGCAGATTCCTGCTTGTTTAAGAACATTTTTCAGACTAACAACCAAATACAAATAATAAAAAAACAGTGTTACAACCAATAATAAATGATTAGAATCAGCAACTAGTCATAAATTATATTTTACCTGTTGAAGATAGATCTTTGAACAACCTCAGTTTGAGGAAAAAAACATTAATTCTGAGCAAACTGACAAGATAATCTGAGTGGATCCAAATCCCAGTTAGCAAACTTTGTCTGGCCCAGCTCTGGCCCATTTGTAGCACTGACAAATTTGGGCCACTTAAACCAAACCACAACAGGGCCAATTGTGGCACTGACATATTTGGGCCACAAAAACAAAACCATAACAGGGCCAGGTGAGCTACTGACAGCTGTGGGCCACATAAACCAAACCACAACAGGGCCAGTTGTGGCACTGAAATAAAAAAACAAAACAAAAACAGCAAAAAAAAAAAAAAAAAAAAAAAAAAAAAAAAAAAAAAAAAAAAAAAAGACAAAAACAACAACAACAAAAAAAAAAACCAAACACTGGGCCAGTTGTGGCACTGACATACCGTATTTGGGCCACATAAATAAAACCATAACAGGGCCAGTTGCGGCACTGAAATAAAAAAATAAATTAAAAAAACAAACAAACAAACAACCAAACACTGGGCCAGTTGTGGCACTGACATACCGTATTTGGGCCACATAAACAAAACCATAACAGGGCCAGTTGTGGCACTGAAAGGTTTGGGTCACATAAACCAAACCACAACAGGGTCAGTTATGGCCTGCCTTCTTAAAACTGTGCCATCATTGCCAGATCTGGCCAACATCTGGATGACAAACCACTTGCCATGCCAGCAGTGCCAGCTTGACACCAGATCTGGCCCACACCTCTCTGCTACGTGGGATCGGTCCCAGTTCTGCTAGCAGATTAGCTCATTAATCCAGTTAGAATTAAACAAACTAAGGTTGTTCAGAACGCTACGATCTACAAGATAATCACTGAAATAATCCTATTTATGGTTTTCTTTGTGTTGTGTCCTAATAAAAATGATTCATTTTGAGGTTTGTATTACCATAAACATACTCAAAATAAAATACCGAAACTTGATGTTTAAAATTAGGAAAACACTTTTTTTTTAAAGCCACTTCAGTAGAAAGCAGAACTGAATATTAGTTTCTTAGTTTCTTCATCATCAGTGACCGTTTTTTGTTTGTTTGTTTTTGCTTTAAACAGTAGAATAAATACCTTAAAGGATAAAGGACTGCCTGTGCATTTACACTGACATAATGATGAAGTTCCTGGCTTTAGCAAAGGGAAAAATATTTAGCTTGTAAACACTTCTTGTAGTTGTATTTCATCCTCACACACCTGCAGACAAAATAGCTTTACTCATCCTGAAACAGGTTCCACGCGTCAGGAGCAAACTTGACATCAGTTTGTTTTATGTGTGTTTTGTTTTCTATTCTGGTCATTCCCATGAAGTTGATTGTTTATGTTTTTACTTGTCCAATTTTTTGTTGTGCCTTATAGTGAATCATGTGTTTTGGATCATTTGGATCACTGTGTTTTGTACTTTTTTTTTTTAAACTGGACTGAACTCTGGTTTAATGAGTGTGACCTTGTGTCTGTGGAGCTGTCATGATTCCAGGTTATCCTTGGGYTCTCCTTCCCCATTTCCCCCCAGTTTCCTCCCTTTTCATCCCATCTCCTCTTTTCCTTTGTTCTTTCTACTCTTCTCTTTTTCCATATGGACTTGCGAGCACACTGTGAAGTTAAATTCACCCGTCAGGTGCTGCTGTTGCCTCCCTCTCTGGTTCAAGTGATCARACCTGCAACTCATTACCTCCCAATTAAGCACCTGTAAAAAAGCTAAGTTGGAATACTGCTTTTTACCAGATTGTACAATTATTTTGGGGATCTCGGTGCTTTACATTCTTGGATGTTCGAGCCTTTGATTCAAGAGTTAAGGTCTTACCTGTGTTCTTCTCATAGACCTCCTTGTTCTGTAATCTCTGTAGAAACTCACCTGAATACAAGCCTGTCTGCTCATTTTCCACCATCCTGTTCTTCATCCTCCTAGTCATCCTTCACTCATCACCTCAGGTTTCTGGCCCACCTGAAAAATAAAATAAAAGAYAWAAACAAATCCTACTTGCTAAACTTGATAAATGTCTCCTTTGATCCCACAATAATCTGCCCCATCTCTGTACAGATCTGTCTTATTCACAAACGTTTGGTAGTCTGAACACAATCCAGCCTGAGCCAATCTGTAGGACCTTCTGAACTGACGTCAGCCCACAAGCAGAAGAGTGGGTTTATTATTATATTTATTTATATACCAATAAACCCACTCTTCTGCTGCAGGCTTGTTAAAGATCAACAGCCATTCTTATAATCTGAAAAAACACCTTTTTATGTTTTGATTTCTTTTGCGCTTTTCAGCTAAAGATTTAAATGAATTGTTTATCAAATCTATCTCAAAGTTTGTCTGGATTGCAGCCTTGATTAAAGGATGTTGTATGGGTAAGTTTCTCTTTGATTCAATTGTTTTTTCTGATTATTTTGGGACCTGCTGTGGTCAGTGGATGCTATAATGTGCTGTGTCAATCAGGGGGCAGCAGGGGGCAAATCATTATTGCCCTTATATTGTGTCTGTTAGGTAATAAAGTGAGATAACTCACCAAAAATTACTCTGAAATGTAATAATGTCAATAATGATGTCAGATATCTGATATATTGTCATTTGTACATAAACACCAACAGACCTGCTGATGGCCTCTATGTTGCTCATCTGACAACTGTGTGACATGACTGTGTGTACGTGTTTGTGTGTGTACTTGTTTCTACTACCAAGTAGGGCTGCCACAAACGATTATTTTAATAATCGATTAATCACCGATTATTTATTCGATTAGTCAACTAATCAGATCATACGTTAATTGAATATAAAACATACAGCTTATCACGTCAGAATGCAGCTGCTATTATATAACCATCGTTAGATTTTAGCTATATGCTAACTAAAAATAACTGCTGTGGAAGGCAAGTTCTGCTCTGCAGATATTGTACAAGTTTCTCTTTCATTTTCTTAAAAAGATCCCACACGTTTGAGCTCCGTTGCTGGGTAGCCATGATACCAGAGCCTGTCTGTATAATGTCTTGTGACGTCCACGGCCTACCCCAGTTACCACTACTGTGCATGTGTGTCAAGGACAGAAAGGCAGATGTGGCAGTGGAAGGTGACAAAGCAGTTTGGAGAGAAAAACAAATTAAAGAAAACAAACAAAAAAAAGAAAACGATTAATCGATTATTAAATTAGTCATCGATTATTTTAATAATTGATTAGTCGTCGATTAATCGTGGCAGCCCTACTACCAAGTGAGGACCATTTCTGCCAAAGTGAGGTCTTTGATGTAAAGTGAGGACATTTTCAATCTCCTCACCTTATTTGCAGCTCTACTGCTCTTTACTAGTTAGTTTGAGAAGTATGGTGTGAATTAAGTTTTGGTTCAGGTTAGTGTTATGAATAGACTAGTAATGGTTAGTTTTAGGGAAAATGTCTGGGTTAGGCATGAATACAGTTACAAAAATGAATGGAAGTCAATAACAAAGTCCTCAGTTTAATGCAAGTACAAGGATGTGTGTACGTGTGTGTGTGTGTGTGTGTGTGTGTGTGTGTGTGTGTGTGTGTGTGTGTGTGTGTGTGTGTGTGTGTGTGTGTGTGTGCACACATTGTGGATAGTTGACATCTGAAATCAAAGCATTTTGGGGTTGAAAACCTGCCACAAACAATGAACAGAGGTGTCAGAGCGGACCAATTCACCCCAAACAGATTTGTGACAGTTGTCTTTTTATTMTGTGAGCCATTCAATCATTCTGCTGAACTGAAACTAGATTAGATTTTTTAAAAACTGTTCTTAACTCAGATATTTAAAATTATACGAAGTTGAAAAGCAGTGATCTGACCACAATTTTGGTGTGTGTGTAATTAAAGCTGATCAAAACATGTTGAGTGAGTGTTTATAAAGTACACTGGAAGAAACAGTATATTTCAAAAACTTGGCCTGAAACTGTGCCTCGGCTATTTCCTTTCTCTGCACTAACATCCTGTCAGCGCTTTATCTTTRATACTGTCTTATAAAAGCAGATGGGTAACAGAAAAGCACGCATGCTTACTAAACAGATCTGTTTTTGACAGCGTGGCAGGGATGAAAAGTGATCCCTTTTTATCTATCTGGAGGTTTAAGACATGGAAACATTATCAAAACACAAAATTATATTTGCTGTTTGCCTCATAAATCAACTACAGAAATCAGTTAAATCCAAACTAAATTCCTATCATGTTCAGKGAAAGAGGATGATGAGACAAAAAAAACCTTCTCAATGAAACGAGCGCCTAAAAATGGTGCTGACTTAATCATTTAAATTAGGTAAACTTTTCTTAATGAGGCTGTTTATGAACATTCTTTGGACTGGAACAAGTCAAAGAGAAGTAATAAAAAAAAACTTGGACTCTAACAGCAGATCTCTGTTTAACACATGTGATCCTACAAAAGTGCTGAATAGGACAGAAACATGATGTTAGTTTTCTATGAATGAACTTTTAAATGACTAATTTTCAATCTGTGCTGTTTAAACAGAATTTATATTTAGATTATTCACATAAAGTAAATGTGTCAAATTCAAGGTCCATGGGCCAAATGTGGCCTGACACAGCATTTTATGTGGCCTGCAGGAGCTTCAAAGACATGAATGTCTTAAAATAAACGTATGCAGCTTTAAAACCAGCATTAACCATAAAATTAATTTCCCYTAATGCCTGTTGATTATTTAAAAAAATGACGGCATCCCACCACTAGGTGGAGATTCAAAATTAGGCAACAAAATTTACCATGATAAATCTCCATTTCACTGTATTTTTGCCAGTTGCTTTTACTACGGCCTGGTACTGGAAAGTGGGAGTTTTCCAGTTACAAGTTGAAAATTGAAACTGGAACACCCCTCTAGTGGGAATTTTTTGTCAGAAAATGCCAGCGTTCAGAACTCAAGATGGCAGCTACTCACTACAATTCAAAAGTGAGTAAAACTCTTACTTTTACTTTTAATATAGTAGTATTTCTGTATTATTTATTTCACAATTATTCAGTCGAACACATACTTTTCAGTGCTTATAAAAGAAAATGTTTAAATTCTGTTTCTATGCACAAAATACCACATAGAGCTCAGTTATTGTTTGTTAGCTGACCAGCAACAATGAGACGAGGCACATGATGTTTTATGTTCAGTCGAAGTTAACTAGGACTGGCTATTTGAGGGTTGCTCATGTGGCCCTCAGTGAAAATGTGTTTGACACCCCTGACATAAAGGAGCCACTTATTAGTTTAAAAAGAGGGGCTTTTTTAATCAATCAGGGACACATTAAAAACTAGCCTGGTTAAAACCAGACCCTGTCCTTCACTTTGCTTCGTACAAGGGTCAGGACTTGATGCATAGAGAAGTGATTCTTGCAGGAGGCGTGGCCTCTGCTGAAGTTTAAAATGATTGGATCAGTTGGCTGTGACGTATGTCGCTCTGACGGAGGCTAAGCTAAGAAGCTAACCGGAAATCGCGTGTGCTGTAAACAACCCTACTGAGAGGAGAAAAGTACCGAGCTGAACGAGACAACTGTAAATGAGAGCTGCTGCTTTGTCAGACAAATTTAATTTAATTTGGAAGCCTTATCAACACAGACTGGCTTCATTCACTTCCTCTACTGCTGTATGCTAAAATAACTAGCAGACACTGCGCAGAAAATCGACGTCGTTCAAAACTCTGCCTTCTGTTTGTTGATTGGCCCAGGTAAAATAAACTACAAGCAGACACTGCGCAGAAAATCGACGTTCTGTTCTCTGATTGGTTTGGCTAAAAATCTGCCAGCAAAATCCTTGTCTATGGGAGAAATCCCAGACGGAGCAGAGAAGGGAAACTAGAATTGAGCGGAGCTGCGTAGGAAGGCAAGGACCAGGCTAATTAAAAACAAACTTGATGTTTGAATGTACAGAAACTGTGAATTTTAGCAGCAGATGGAAGAACTGCACACTCCTGTTTGTACATGACCGAACTCCCTCATGTATTCTGTAAAAGCTAAAACCACATTCATATTTATTTCAGGAAACTTTTAGTCATTTCCACTTTTGATAAAATGTTTACAATGTTTATGTTGTACTTTATGTTCAAACCAATAACACTTTATGCCCATTAACAAACGGCGTCCGTCTTATAAACAGATTAGGAGTTAATGACCGTTCTGACCAAGATACTGATATGAATATTTAATGAACGTTTGTTAGATTCAGATGCAGAAAAACAGATAATGAAGTGCTGTAAACAGAGTGGTAAAGATACAAAGTGAGCAGCAGGTGAGCTGAATAAACATCTTGTGAATTTGTTAAAAAGCAACATAATAACTGATGTTGAAGGGTTCTGGACGTGGATAAATTATCAGGTTTTTGGCATTTTGCTGCCCTCTTGTGGACAATTTAAAAAGAACAGAAGGAACAATTAATTTACTGTCTTCAGCATCGCTACAGTTATGACTTGAATTGTAYATTTGTATATTTATATTTACCCCTGACTATTACAGAATATACAGGACAGGGACAGTTCAGATTTTTATTTTATTAATTTTTTTTATTGAAAGACAACAAAATTTGTTGCAAAACGAGGATAACTAGAAGGTAACTTGTTCTTTTATTTAATTTTTTAAACAATTTTAACATTACTACAACCTAAAACTAATTTTGACTCTTGGCAATAATGTTCTCTTAATAATAAATGCTTGTTTTTAAAAATAAATAAAAGAGGACACCAAAGTAAAACCTTACATTTACTGAGAAGAGATAATTGCGATCCAAAGTTCACCTTCCGCCACGCAAGGCTTTTGTTTGTTGTTTTATCTTAGAAATCTAATTTTACAGATGTTTTTTAATTAATTTTTATCCTGTTAATGAGAGATTATTAAAATGTTTTATTTGTGGAAATATTTTTATCATCAGTTTTCAAA